AGAGCAACAAACTCCACTATATACCAAATTCTGAAACGGAAAAAAGGTTAATATTCCAGTATACAAACAAGCTTCAAAAATTACAACAAAAATGGATTTACAGTATCAAATTTTCAGCAGAATTCTCTCATGGTGGTCGAAAACCGTCACACTCCGGACGGCTAGTCGAACTAGACGACGGCGAGCACAAGGATCGTCGGTGCATTGAAGTAGAAATTCTAATTTGGCTTAGCCTTTTTATCCTCGTTAACTTATTTAGATCTAAGTGGGAACCCATTTGAGAATATACCTTCAAGCATCATACAACTTCATCGGCTGGAAACACTTGCCATTCAAAATTGCAAGAAGCTCCCATCTTTGCCACAACTTCCATCGTTTGTTAGCTTTCTTTTTGCAAGTGGATGTACTTCTCTGGAGACAATATCAAGTTCGGGGTGGTGTGTGACTCACCCTTTCATTTTATTTGAGTTCAGAAAGTGCTGGAAACTAGGACAAAATGGACGCAGCATTTTAGATGATGTCTTCTACAGAGTTAATAAATTGAAATTGGTACGTCATACAATTACAGTATGTTATCCGGGAAATGAAATTCCAAAGTGGTTCAAGCATCAGGACGAGGGGATTTCAACAACTATGAAGCTTCCCCATGGTTGGCATAATTCTAATTTGATGAGTTTTGCCATTTGCATTGTTGCTCCAATAATCCCAGCAGGCGCAGGCTCCTATTCTTCTGAGTACTATCAGTGTGTGCGAATTATGTTTGACTTGCATTTTAAGTAGGCCATCTACTTAAAATTGAAAACCTTGGGCCATAAATTTCCCATAAATTGCCGAAGGATGGTGGTTGTTAACGGTGAAAACTAGTTAACTTGGAATTAAACTTTTTTGAGAACATTCACAGTCATTTCTCACGAATAAATCAAGAAAATAAAAGTGCAAAAAGATTAAGAACGCAAACATTTATAGTGATTCGGCATAAATTTTTTATTTATGTCCACTTATAGATGCACTAGTACTCTTTGAATTACAATCTCTTGTGTAGTAAAATTGTGCGTGAAAAACTAAATGAAGGATTCAGGCTCTATTTATAGGCCTCCCTCACATCGGAGATTCTTATCTCTAATTTCCGGGGATAATTTCCTTATCCTTAATTTTCAGGACTTGACGGTTGTGTTTTCATATATAAATGACCGGATTTGAGGAACTATCCTTATCGACTATCTGGTTTTCAAATTCAGATCTCGACAGTTGTTGTAGCTTATCATTTCCTGATTTAGTGGGATTTAATTTGAATATGACTAGGTTGATCTCTCGACGTCGTGGCCTTCAAGACTAGGGAGAGTTTCTCGACCCATATCTCTTCTCCTGTAAGAGCTGTCCTCGGCTCAAGGACATTTCATAGATCACAAACTCTTCGTCGTTAATGGTTAGCCCTCGACTGAGAATATCTCGGTGCATAAGTGTCAGAGGGATTGTCGATCGCTCAGCAACAGTGGTTATTTTGAACCATTTCAACACTCTGTAACGAGCAGAAGAGAACAACCTTCAAATTGAGAAGAGAATTCATTGTAAACGGCACAGGCAAGTGGAGCCAATGCGTAAAAGTGATTCAATTTTCTCAAGGTGTTTAGTTTATTTATTCCCATCAGAGCCTCAAAGTGTGGCACAGTACACGATGGGATGCAACTTAACTTACTTGCAACGTGTTCAACAATCTGCTTAACTAGTTTCGGCTCATGCCTAGCAAATAGAAGACAAATAAGTAGTAATTAATTAAGAGATAAGATCCCGTAGGAATTATTAAACGAGCAAATTCTATTTTACCTTTTTTTTTTTAGAATGAATTGAACTCTGTTGCGAGAGAACTAAAGAAGAGAAGGTGCTAATTACATTAACAGGCGTAGCCGCGTAGAAGTAGTAATTGTTGTGAAATAAAAGTCTTAAGAATTAATTTTGATGCTATTTTTTTGTCCTCAATGGTTCATGAAATAATCATGTTTGCTATAGATATCCGCGCTAACATCATTAAAAACAGGGGTTTGATATTCAACTAAAAAGCTTGACAATTGACACCACCCCCTCCAAAACTTTGCGTTGGACTTGTAGCTTTAGATTCTTATAAATTAAAGTGGATAAATTTAAAATTATTTTTATTTTATGTATATTTTTTATAAAAAAAATATTATAAAAAATTTTGAATTATAATTCAAAAATATAAACGAATATAAAAAAATAAACATCTTAAAAGTTTTCAAAAGTTGAAGCATCAAAATTAAGGAAATGAAAAGTCACTTGGAAAATTATTGTTATGATGCTATCCAACGGAAGAAATTAGGATCTTCCTTTTCCACTTTTCTTTATGAATGGATGGATCTCTATTAAAAAGTCTTCGCCATACTGAAGACTCTTCAATGTGCATGTTCCGAACATAGATATCCAAAAAAATAATAATAAAATGATTTATGATTGTGACCGTCTTTCTTTACTTTTCTTCGTTGAACAAGTCATATTTCTGGAATAAGATGAAGAAGTTAGAGGCGTGTTTAGAATAATGATTCAATTCATTTCACCGATTTAAATTTAGAATTCAAGTTTTATTACAGTAAAAAATTCTCAGAAACAGTCACATTTAATTTTTTTGTTACAGTAAAAAACTCTCACATAAAGTCACATATCAACTCAAATTAAAAACTCGAATCAACGAACTAAATGGGTGTTTTTAATTTTTTTATTTAAATAAATTTAAATTTTTTTAAATATAATTTTTTTAAGTACTATTTAAATACTAATTAAAAATTTTTAACTTATATTTATCTTTTTTTTACTACTTAAACACATAATCATTGGATGGATCTTGGAAAATAAAGGAAATAAATATCCAAGAAAATAATAATAAAATGATTTATGATTGTGCATATTTCGTGGAATAGGATGAAGAAGTGAGAGGCGTGTTTAGAATCATTATTAAAAACAATTTTTATGAATGAGACGTTTAATTTATGAATTATAATTATGTGATTAAAATTATTTTTAATTTATGTGTATTTTTTATAAGAAAAAATACTGTAACGAATCATGAATCATAATTCAAATAAAAAAATGAATTTAAATACCAAACATTCTTTAAGTAAAAAATAAAAAAGAAAATAAAATGACGTTTATTTAATAAATATTTTAAAAATTAAAATAATTAAAATAATTTTTTATAAAAAAATTAAAAATTATTTTTATTTTTTAATATTTATTAATAATATTATAATATATTAATTAATAAATACAATTTTATTTTTTTATTATAGTCAAAATAATCTCTAAAAAAAAATTATTACTGTTTTAGTGAAATTAATCACCCTAAAATCACCTTTCACATTCTTCTTTTCATTTGCAATCCGAAAAGCTTGATTTGATTTCTTCCATGCTAGGGCAGTTTGGGAGTCTCTTTCCGGTGACTTCTTCTCCGTATGAACGGGGTTTTCTTTTGTTTGTCTACAGAATGCTATTTTTTTAAAAAAAAAGAAAAAGAGTAAAAAGCAACAACATTCTAAAAAAAACATTTTTGAATAAAAACTAAAATCAGATTATATAACCATAATGCACTTTTGTTGGGGTGGAGGAGGTGGGCTTGCCGCGCGGATCTGGGAAGCTCGCGAGAGAACCGGCTCGCTGAGGGTGGGTGTGCCATGGTGTTGGTTCGCAGGCGGAGGGCGTGTGGACTCTCATTTATCTTTTTAATATAATTTTGTGTGTTAAATTTTAAAAAAAGAAATTATATATTATATTAATTATCTTAATATTAGAATAATTAATTAATAATTAGATTTTTTAATTAGATTTAATTAATTATTTAAATTATTTTTCTCAATAAATTTTGAAATAATTTAAAGAAAAAAATATAATGATGAAGTAAAATAAGAACAAAATAACTAGTTTTAAGTCATAAACTTTAAAAAAGAAGTTCTAGGTCATAAATTAAAAAATATTTCCGAAGCATAATTTAAAGTACTAACATAATTTAAGTAAATTAATAATTGACTAATCTAACACTTAAATCTCACGACTAAGAATTTTAAAGATGTATCTCTTCTTGAGTTGATCTTGAATATTGTAGAATACACGTAGTAAATCATACATCATTGCCAATTTCAATTTGTTAGTAGAATTTTTTACTTTTTATTTTTATATTTACAAATTTATTAGTAGAATTAAATATAAAATCGTAATTCACATTTACTATCAAGATTGTAAGTGCTAATTCAGTGGGAGATAGAGAGAGTGCCAATTATATTCCTCATCCTTAAAATTAGTGTAGGACCCACTTATTATCACTCTCATTCTAAGATAAAAATAGGTAAGTAAACATGAGGTTAATTCTGAAACTCAATTCTCATTCTCAACTCCTAATAAGGGACTATTTAGTTCATTGATTAGAGTTTTTAATTCAAATTGAGATAAAATTTTATGTGAGAGTTTTTTACTATAACAAAAAAGTTAGATGTGACTGTTTCTGAGAACTCAATTCTCATTCTCCACTCTTAATAGGGGACTGTTTAGTTCGCTGATTCGAGTTTTTAATTCAAATTGAGATAAAATTTTATGTGAGAGTTTTTTACTATAACAAAAAAGTTAGATGTGACTGTTTCTGAGAACTCAATTCTCATTCTCCACTCTTAATAGGGGACTGTTTAGTTCGCTGATTCGAGTTTTTAATTCAAATTGAGATATATTTTTATGTGAGAACTTTTTATTGTAATAAAAAAAATTAAATGTAATAATTTTTTAAATTTTGTTACTGTAGCTCAAATCAATAAAATAAAATAGACTTAAATAAACATGCCATGAGTGTTTTGAAAGTTGATTGTTTTTCTATTAAAAAAAACGCTAATCAAGGACCCACTATCAATGACGTAACTCTCTCTCTTTATCTTTCTTCTCTCTCCTCTCTTTTCTTTTTCTTCTTGTCTGTCTTTCTTCCTTTCATCTCCCTCCTTCCTTCTCGTCCATTCATTTCTCTGCAACTAAAGAAAAAAAGTGATTTTTTTTTTTCTAGTGAGGTGCTATATTAGTTTTTGAAATGTGTCTGTAGTGGGGAAGAGGGCTTCGCCAATAGGGATTTCGTTAAAAAAATTTGAAAGTTGTTGAAAGTTTGTTCTTGGATTCAAGATAGAGAAATGGAGGAATGGTGAGGATGGCTGTAAGGTATAGAGGAAGGTAAAAGCAATGTTTTAATATTGTTTTGTGGTTCTTTTGTTTTGTGGCTGTAAGATCCTCTTGCTGAAGAACCCAAAATAGAAAGGGCAAAGGGCAAGAGGAGAGATTTTTTGCATTACAGTAACAAAAGAAAAAAAAAAAAACTACTAATAATACAAATAATAATTTAAAGACGTACTCCAACCTTTCTTCTGCTTCTTCTTTTTTACTTAGATGGTCTTCTTCTTCTTCTTCTTTCTACCTTTCAGGAAATCGCTAAACCACTAGGTCATGCAGTTCTACCTTTAAACAATATTCATCTTTCTTTCACAAAAGAAGAGCGAAGAAATCATTTTCTCATTCTTTTCCTGCCAACGATATGGCCATTGTTGCTTCTTCTTCTTCTTCTTTCATTATCAACAATGAAGTCTTTATCAGTTTCAGAGGGGACACTCGTAAAAACTTTACTAGTCATCTTTACTCTGTTTTACGCGGTAAACACATTCGAACCTACAGAGATGATCCAGATCTCGAGAGAGGAGATGAAATTTCGCCTGCACTTTCGAGAGCAATTGAGGAATCAATGATTTCAATAGTCGTCTTCTCGAAAGAGTATGCTTCTTCTAGATGGTGCTTGGATGAGCTCGTGTACATTCTCAAATGCAAGAATGAAAGAAGTCAGATCGTTTTACCCGTCTTTTACAACATCGATCCATCGGATATTAGGAAACAGAAGGGGAGTTATGCTATTGCCTTTGCCGCACACGAAGAACGTTTTGAGCTGGAAAAAGTGAAGGAGTGGAGAGATGCTCTGACTGCTGCAGCTGATCTATCTGGCTTTCACGTACAAGATCAGTAAGTATGATATTTGATCATGCCTTAATATTATCAATAAGCTCCGTATGTTATCATCCTAGATAATACTCATTAGATGTTCAGGAGTTATTTTCGTTTCATCTAATTATGGGGTTATGTTTTGTATATTATCTGCAGTGTATAGCTGTGTGTTATATCTCCATATGTAACGAATATTTACAAATTTTATATAAATCTTCTAAATAATATTTGAAAATAGAAAATGACTAGATAAGTAAGAATTAATTATTACTTCCTCAATTTGTATTTTTTTTTTAATTTTAAAATTAAAATAGGTAAATAGTATTAGCAAAATCTAATTAGGTGAATTTGTTACTTTTCAGTTTTTGAAACAAATAACAAAAACAAAAGTGCAAGCAAAGCTGTAGTGCCAAAAGTAACATATTTTGATTTAAAATGCGTAGTTAAGCAAAACAATAATACAATCTGAAACTGTCACATAATGAATTACAATCCGTAATATGAAAGAATACATCTGATTTCTCAAAAAAGAAAAAAAGTATACATTTTAATTTGTTTTACTTTTTTGCTAATTTCATCGTGATTTTTTCATATTAATTCATCTCTCTTTTATATTTATGCTAGGTATGAGTCAGAATTAATTGAGAAGATTGTGGAAGATGTATTGAGAAAATTAAATCGTTTGCCACAAATTGCTATGGAGACTAAGGGTCTTTTTGGAATAGATGAACGCCTTGAGGAAATTGAATCATTGCTATGCAAACCAAATCCTCGGGGCATAGGCCTTTGGGGGATGGGTGGTATAGGCAAGACTACTTTGGCTCGCGCCATTTTCAATCGGTGCTTTTATCAATTTAAAAGTCGTTGCTTTCTTGAAAATGTTAGAGAAAATTCACAGAAATATGGACTGCCTCATCTAGAAATCAAATTGTTTTCAATGCTATTGGATCAAAGAAATCTGGAAACAGTTGACCACTTTGTGAGAAATAGACTCGTAGGTAAAAAAGTACTCATTGTTCTTGATGATATTGATGATATAGACCAGCTGGAGAAATTGGTTGGAGATGGTAGTTGGGTTGGTGAAGGAAGTAAAATCATCATAACGACAAGAGACAAACAAGTTATTTTGAGCGCTGACAAGGAAGTATATGAAGTTAAACAATTAGATTTTGAGAAAGCACTTCAACTCTTTCAGTTCAGTGCCTTTAGAGCAAAGCCTTCCATGACATTTTTGGAGCTGTCAAGAGCGTTAGTAAATTATACTGGATGCAATCCGCTAGCTCTTAAAGTTTTAGGTTCCTCCCTTCGTTCCCAAACCGTAGAATATTGGGTTAATACATTGAACAAACTTAAATCAATTCCCGATCCAAAAATTCAAAAGGTGTTGAAAATAAGTTATGATGGGCTAGATGATAAGCAACAAGATATTCTCCTTGATATTGCATGTTTTCTTAGAGGGGAGACAAGAGATTTTACAGAAAGCATACTAAATGATTGTGATTTGTTTGCAAGTTCGGGGATTGAAATTCTCATAAACAAGTCTCTCATAACCATTATTGAGGGCAAAGTTTGGATGCATGATTTGATACAAGAGATGGGTTGGGAAATTGTTCGCCAACAATCTATTAAAGATCCTGGTGAGCGTAACCGGATGTGGATTCCTCAAGACGTCTATAATGTTCTAGAAAACAACATGGTGAGTATCAAATTCTAAGCGACTATAGAACATCATCTCTCTCTCTCTCTCTCTCTCTATACATAATTAATTTTAGTAACTGTTCCTTTTTATTTTTCTTAACTCATATTCTCATTTATCATTTTTTTTTTTAAATTTCTAGGGAACTAGAGCAATCGAAGGAATATACCTTGACATGTCTAAGATTGATGATGATCTACACTTGGAACCTACGGTTTTCAACAAGATGCATAGACTGAGATTGCTCAAGATATACATTGCAAATCATTCCTATCATCATAAATTCAAAGTATATCTTACTCAAGGTCTGCAGTTTCTTCCTCCTTCCCTAAGATATCTTTGCTGGTATAACTATCCATTAAAATCTTTGCCATCAAATTATAAGGGGAAAAATCTTGTTGAACTTGACATGCCCTGTAGCGAGCTTACGCAACTTTGGAGTGGTGTACAGGTATGCTATAATATTAATTAATAAGTTGAATATCATGTATTAAATGTTTATGATTACCTATTGTTTTTAATCTAAAAAAATGACTTACTAAATTCTTAACGACCCGAGTTTTCGGACCATTACTTTGTAAGACCAAGAAAATTCAGAAGTTGGAATTCAACTATTAAAAATCTACATAGACAAAATTGACTACCTGACTGTTACTTTAAATCAAACCTTGGACTTGGCTTGAGTTGGAGTCTTATGGTATGATTTGCATTACTGAGAAAGTTAGTCTACTTTATGTGTTTGTATCCAGTTTACGGATATCCTAGCTAGGAACTTCCTTTAATCATGCTGTGGATTGAATTTAATCCTTGTGAATTAAATAACTTTCATAACCTAAGTAATACTCATGGAACTTTATGCATTCTTAATGTCATTTATCATTTTGACATTTGAAGTTTTACCACTTTTAGGATCTATTGGAACATTTAGAATTCCTAAATCGTTGTAACTTAATATTACCAAGCAGGGATAAAAATCTTTAAAAAATTTATATTCTAAAGATCTCATGTACAATTTAAATTCATGAACTAAAAACACACCTATTCAGACATGCTTACATAATTGATCATCAAATAACATAATAATTCCCTTATTGCAAGTAAGTATCATGGCATGTACTAATGGGGAAATTCATAATTCAAATTGTCATAAAATCACATTTTTATTCATGAATTTATCGGGGCTTACAAAATTAATTAATTAATTTTTTTTTGTAGAATCTTGGAAATTTGAAGTGTATTAATCTTGGTTATTCCAAGCAACTGATTAAACTTCCAGATCTATCTCGAGCTCCAAAGCTAGAAAGTATTAATCTTGAGGGTTGTATAAATTTAGTTGAAGTTCCTTCACTTAATTTCCAAGGATGTTTTGGATCTCTTACATTACATGGCTGTACTAAGATTAAGTCTTTTCCAATGATATCGGGGAATATCAAGTACTTGAATTTAGACAGGACTGGAATAAAAGAATTGCCCTTATCAATTGGGCGTTTAGAAAGTCTTGTGGAATTGAGCCTCAGTGGTTGTCAACATATCAAGAATCTTCCAGCAGCTCTTCCGAGTAATATACAAGTTTTAAATTTGAGCGACTTGTCAATAAAACAAGTGCCATCAATTGGGTCTTTTGAAAATCTTGTGGAATTGAGCCTCAGTGGTTGTCAACATATCAAGCATCTTCAAATAGGTCTTCCGAGAAATCTAGATATATTGAATTTGCGAGACTCATCAATAGAACAATTGTCTTCACCTTCAATTGAGGGTCTTGATTGTCTGAGGATATTTTTTCTTGGAGGATGCAAAAAGCTCCGGAGTCTCCCAACCAATATTTTTAAATCCAAATCTCTTCAAACCCTTGAACTTGGCGATTGTTCGAGATTGAAAAAATTCACAGGGATCCAAGTGTTAAGCAACTCAATTGTAATTGAAAAGTTTTTTGGGCTCCGTCGTCAAGATATGAGTTGGCGCAGAAAACTCGAGTTTGTCCCAAAATGGATTTATTATTTAAGTTGTATAAAATTCTTGTCTCGCCGTGGGTGTTTGGAACCTGAACATCTCCAAAGGAAGCAATTTTTTTTGTTCTCCTTAAACCGGCTAGATCTAAGTAACTGCAATATTGTAGAAATTCCAGTTTGGCTGAGCCTTTTATCCTCGTTAACTTGGTTAGATCTAAGCGGGAACCCATTTGAGAATATACCTTCAAGCATCATACAACTTCATCGGCTAAAATGGCTCATCATTAAAAATTGCAAGAAGCTCCGATCTTTGCCACAACTTCCATCGTCTGTTATAGTTATTAATGCAAGGGGATGTACTTCTCTGGAGACAATATCAAGTTTGGCGTGGTGTGGATTCAACACACGGCGTGTGACTTACCCTTTCATTACATTTGAGTTCCAAAAGTGCTGGAAACTAGGACGGAATGCACGCAACATTTTAGGTGATGTCTTATACAGAGTTGTTAAATTGAAATTGGTACGTATGTATGTATTTTCTTTCACTCTCTCTCTCTCTCTTAAAAACAAGAGTAAGTAATTTGAAGATTGAAGTAATTAAACATTAATACACTATTATTCATGTATATTGGTGATGTAGGAAGGAAGGCGTCATACAATTACAGTATGTTATCCGGGAAATGAAATTCCAAAGTGGTTCAGGCATCAAGACGAGGGGATTTCAACAACTATGAAGCTTCCCTGTGGTTGGCATAATTCTAATTTGATGGGTTTTGCCATTTGCATTGTTGCTCCAATAATCCCACCAGGCGCAGGCTCCTATTCTTCTCCTATAGAAATTAAGTTTGACTTACATCTTAAAACTAACTGCGGTCAAATCCACAAATATCACAAGTACGGTAATTGGGTGATCCACAGTGATGAGGAGGAGGAGGCTAAAATCACAAGTAGTGATATTAGTTCGGACCATGTGTTCATGCAATACGACTCTAACAACTTGTTCAACAAACATCCTGATGTAATGGAGGCATCATTCTATTTCGAATCTAGAGATTTGTGGCAAAAGAGAAATTGTGATTCGACTGTGAAAAGGATTGGAGTTGGGTTGGTATATGCATGCAAATGATTGATTATGTGATTGAGGAGGAGGAATCAGCTGAACAGCCAAAGTTGATTATTGATTATGTGATTGAAACATACGCACCTAAAGTTGGAGTCGGACATTGAGGATCTGTTCATGTTGTTTTGATGTTTAACACTCAGGACACTTGTATAAATAAAAGGGTAAAATAAATGCATTTTTGTACTAAAATTCTTTTTTAATTTTATATTTCCGTATGCTTCCTTGTATGCAATTATTATATTGATTACGTTGCATATATATGATTCTAATTTCTGTTACAATTTAAGTAAGAATTCTGTGGAAAAATCATTACCCGTAGGTGACTATATGAACATAGAGTTGGGACATTGAGGTTGCCTCTTAGTTGCTTGATAAAATGCGTCAATGAATATTTGAACATTTCTTTTTCTTAAATGCTGAAATTTTAAAATTATAACATTTGAGTTATACGCTGAAAGTTTTAGCCAAAATCCCATTGATAACATCTCCCCCTAAATTGGAAAAACTGACTTTTCACTCCAAATTTAGAGTGTTAATCTGAAAGTTTTAGCCAAAATCCCACTGATAACATCTTCCCCTAAATTGGAAAAACTGATTTTTCACTCCAAATTTAGAGTGTTAATCTGAAAGTTTTAGCCAAAATCCCATTGATAACATCTTCCCCTAAATTGGAAAAACTGACTTTTCACTCCAAATTTAGAGTGTTAATCGTCAGTTTGATTGGTTTAAAAATTAGTTTCCTTTTTTTCTTGAATATTCTTTTGTTAAATTTGTGTGACTTCAAGTGTTAGAAGAATAGCTTTACGGATACGATATTTGAATTCATGACTCAAATGTTTTAGGGATATGTTGTGTTTTCTTTAGTCCATAAAAAATGTCTTTATAATTCATTTTGGTTGTATAAGCTTTCTGATCGTCCTTTTTCCTATCTTCTTAACTTTGTTGTCTTTACCTTTTTGTGTTATACAGAAATAAAGGTGAAAGGGCAAACTTGAAATCTGAAGTTGGAGGGAATGTTTTCAGCATTTTTAAGGATTCATAGGTACTTTAAATGTTACCACACCTCTTTCTCTTTCCCGTCTTTATGTGTTGGCACTTTTCAAAGTTTTCATGGTTCAAACTATGATAGTTGGTTCGGGTACAATATTTTTTTCTCACAAAAAATTTAAATTTTAAAATTCAGAATCAAAACCACTTGTTTGGGTGTGTGATTATGTGAATAAATTCTAACAAGTTGTATAAAGAGTGGGATTGTAAACATAACAGTAAAGAGTCGTTAGTTGGTTAGAATATTAATTACAGATTGTTGAAAAGAATAAAAAGCATAGTGAGAGTGGAGGGAGTATCGGAGATCAGAGAGTTGTTTTGGGAAAAGTCACATACTTTTAGACTTTTAGGTCCCGTTCACTTCACTGATTCGAGTTTAGAATTTGAGTTTTACTACAGTAAAAAGCTCTAAAAAACAGTCACATCTAACTTTTTTGCTACAGTAAAGTCTCTCACATAAAGTCACATCTCAACTCGAATCAGCGAATTAGTATTTACTCATTTAACAATGAGAGGTCGTTTTTGTACCATGTGGTGTTGTGATTTTGGTAAAAATGTTGCTCCGGGTAATGTAATATAATTTATAGAGATAACACGTCTATTTTTTTGTTTAAATTTTGTAATTATTTATGTGGTATTTCTCACACACAATGTTGATTTCTGAAACAATTTTGGATATGGAAACGTATATTTAACGGATTGTGTATAATAAAATTTTTTATAAAACCTTTGAAACACATCTATAGAGTATATTATTTTTCACTAATTTGAGAATGATTAGAATTATAGTTAGCGACCGATTAAGATGATAACTTGAATTCTTTGATCACGAACAATCGTCGCTCCAATCGAATTGTAATTTTTGGGCCTTCCTCCTCAATTCCTTGTTTTTACTAAGAAAATGTGTGGGCACACCTGAAATAGAACATGATTAGAACTCGAACACTCACATTGGGAGATTGAAGAATCTTTTTCTCCTCTTCCTCTAGATGGTGCTTGGATGAGCTCGTGCACATTCTCAAATGCAAGAATGAAAGTGGTCAGATTGTTTTACCCGTCTTTTACAACATCAATCCATCAGATATTAGGAAACATAAGGGGAGTTATGTGATTGCCTTTGCTGCACATGAAGAACGTTTTGAGCCGAACAAAGTGAAGGAGTTATGGCCCCGTTCATTTCGCTGATTCGAGTTTAGAATTCGAATTTTGCTACAGTAAAAAGCTCTCACAAACAATCACATCTAACTTTTTTACTACAGTAAAAAGCTCTCACATAAAATCACATCTGAACTCAAATTAAAAACTCGAATCAACGAACTAAACGGGCCCATAGAAATACTTGACTACTGCAGCTGATCTATATGGCTTTCATTTGCAAGATCAGTAAGTATGATATTTTATATAAATCTTCTAAATAATATTTGAAAATAGAAAATGACTAGACAAGTAAGAATTAATTATTACTTCCTCAATTTTTTAATTTTAAAATTAAAATAGGAAAATAGCATTAGCAAAATCTAATTAGGTGAATTTGCTACTTTTCAGTTTTTGAAAATTTTGGTCTTAAGTTAGAGCCACATCCTCATCCATTTAGGGTAGCCTGGGTAGATAAGACTTTCCTACCTGTTAGAGAACGTTGTCTAGTCACATTCAAGATTGGACCATATTCTGAGGATATCTACTGTGAGGTTTTACCTATGAATTTGTCCCACCTTCTTTAAGGTCACCCATGGTTATACGATAATTCTGTACAATATTGCGGTCATAATAATACCTATAAGTTCACGTGTGGTAAGAATACCATTCTTTTGCGTCCTGTCAAGCCTGTCGCTAAACCATCTTTTAGGAAACTCACGGCCCAAAGACAACAAATTTTGACCCATAAATCTTTTGAGAAAGAAAGATCCACAAGTAAAAGTCCTTTTGAGATTGTCTATAGCCTCCTTCCACGTCAACCTGTTGACCTTATTCCTTTGCCTACTGATTACTGTCATTCTGATTAAGCTTTCGCTCATCACATTCATAATTTGCATGCTGAAGTTAGATAAAAAATTATTTTGAGCAATGGTAAATATAAACTTGCTGCGAAGAATTTAATGAAGGTGATTATGTCATGGTTCGCATTAATCCTTAGCATTATACAAAACATGCTGTTAAAAAGTTACATGCCCGAATTGGATCTAATGCTTATTTAATTGATTTGCCATCAAATATGTCTATGTGACAACCTGATTTGACAAGCCATTATTAGTAGGTTTTCATAGCGTAAATATGAAAAAAAAAATGTACTTAAAAGAATGTATTAAGAATATTTTGCAATAAATTTTTCCTTTTTTTTTTTTTTTTTTTTTTCAAAAGTACGAAGGTTAAAGTACATAGTTAAAGTTTGAACATTAAAATAAAAATTAAAAATACTTTTCAAAATGGAAAATCTTGGATTGTGATAATTTCATGTTGTCAGAACCTTTAATTGATAGTTCATATCTTGGAACTTAACTCTTTTGATGAAGGATTCATCTTTTGTTTTGTTAACTTGATCGGTTCTAACAAACGAGAGAGGTTCTCATTGAGCTTGTAAAAAAAACTTGTTCCAAAATTTGAGGGAAATATAAAATTATTTAAGCATTTTAAATGGACCATTTTTTTTATAAGTCTCTTAAACATTTACTATAAAAATATCTTGTTTAAAATAATATTCTCAAGAAAACTCTTTAAAATAGAAATAAAGGTAATTAAAACTTGTAATTCCATAATGGGGCATTTTGGACCAATTTTTCAACTTACTTAATTCCTTAGATAATTACTGGATACTTAACTAGATAGGTTCATGCCGGTTTCGTTGTATCTTTAGCTGCTTAGCAATCTACTAAAAAAATAACAGTCCCAAAATAATAAAAATAATTTCAAAATAAACTTTCAGAAATAGTTTGTGTGGAAACATTCAATGGCTCGACCCATCACCCTTGTACCACATGCTCTATCTTGTCAGACTGTCCATACAAAAAAAACACTCTGACATTTTAAAAAAGATAAAATCCTTAATTGCCAGACAACTAGGTTGAAGTCACAAGATAAATACCTATAGTAGAATGGTACAATGTGAGCTCGGGAGTTGACACCGTCAGAAACAATGTCATTCTTGGGATATAATACATAAATTTAAGTTTAGAATTTGTTTAGTCTAGAATAAATTTCAAGACTTGAAACAGTTTGAAATATTACGCGAGTAAGAATTTAACGTGATATCGAAGTAGTCGGGGATTGATATTGAACTGTAAATAAGCAGTAGAAAAGGAACCGTCAGAAACTAAAATTTTCTGTCGGCTAAGTACTTCCTTACAGTCAGTATAAATTTTATCTGATGCAAGAGAAATTTAAGAGATTAGACAAAAGTACAATGGGTATGTTAGAGTTTGGTTGGATGAGATGTGATGTGATGGTAGTGGTTGAAGAGAAATCATGACAATCTTTTTCACTATTTTCTCTCATCTTGGCTAACCATGTTAGGAGGTTTTAGCAAAAGTTTTGGTTACTTGAGTGTGCTAGAAGATTTTATGATGAGAAGTGATGTGATGACAGTGGTTGAAAAGAAATCATGGCATACTTACCCTTTCTTTTCTCCCACCTAGACCGGCCATGCTTAAGGGATTTGAACCCAAAAATTTAGTTGATTAATGGAGTTAATTTGGTGCTAAAAATGATTACCAACTTGTCTATAAATAGAGCCATCATAAACTAGGCCTCACTTTTACTCTATTCTTTTCTTCTCCACACCAAAACCGGATTCACTACAATTCCAGGCCTCCAAAATTTTCTCCACTCTCCCTCACCAAACCGAGCCTTCTTCTAGTCCACATACACTCAAAAGTTTTCATATATCTCACCATAAATCTTAGCTTAAGTTGGAAGAGAAGAGGAGGATTTCAAAGGTTTTCAAAAGAGAGTTCTTTAAGGGTAATTTCTTGAACTCTTCTCCATTATTTTTATAGCCAACTTTAAGCTTGAAATTATGGATGTAAATTGTGGTCCTTTGTTGTGAAAAATCGTAACGCAAGTATACGCTATCGCAATAAAGTAATATAATAGTGAATAAGAATATCGTCCCCCGAGAATTGTTGTTTACTAATTACCGAAATTGTATTAACCCCAATTTTATTTGAATACTTGAAAATAGAGTTTATAAAATTAAGTAAAGCAAAACTAAAAACAATTAAATAAATTAAACAATGCTAGCAATGGATGAAAATTCAATAGATTAAGATTGTAGGGTTTTCGATTTCACCAAATTAATCATGTTCAAATTCTCATAATTCAAGAAAATTAACATTCAATCCTATACTGACAGCAATTTCTCTAAAGCAATTATTATTCTTTCTCAAGCAATAATAATATTAATCCAATAAGCAAAATCTACATCTCTGTCAGACTTCTAAACCTGTTGAAAATCATTAAGTGCAAGAAATTCAAAAGAACTGCACAAGCATCGTAGATATCTCTATCCTATGAACAACTCATGGTATTTCAATTAAGAGCTTAGTTAATTATCACCTCTCGGTCTCAAATTAAATACATAATCATGTAATAGTTGGCCAAACAATCACAAGCATTAAGAATAAATTGAAATACTCAACATATATGGATTAAACATCAATTACTTAAAAAATAAGATTGAGAATTTGAACATTCATAATCCGGCTACATCGTAGCCCTAGAAAAAGGAATTAGTTCATCTCTAAACAAAATAAATTGCTAAACAAAGTCTTAATCATTGGAAAGGAAAGAAAAGAACTAGTTTGGAGTTGAATTGAAGCGTCTCCGTCTTCGGATTTGAGCCATTCTTCTTCTTCGTCCCAATTCTCCTTTTCTTCTCTTGAATACTCTCTCAAAAGCCAGCCGTCATTCCATAGTCTAAAAGTCTCTTCTAATTGCCCTAGAATATCTATTTATATGTTTATGAGCATTAGAGTCAAAATGGGTAAGTTTTCTCGCGATTGGCCTTCAAAACGCGTCTTTTCTCGCGTCGTAGCGCCGCGGCGCTGAGTTCCTAGCGCTGCGGCGTTACTGTGTAAAATCCTGGGCGCTGCGGCGCTGTAATGGGTGCCTAAGCGCTGC